AGAGAACCTTTCCCCTGAGAAGGCGCCTTTCCCGTGGCTCTCGGTGCGCCCGGCGAGTTTCTCTTTCACCCCCGAGAAGGGACTGGAGGCAGCAGGAGGAGTCACCGAACGCCGGGCAGCTTGAGCGGAAGATCCCGAAAGGGACTCGGGCGGGCACCGGCACTACGGCGGCCAGAACTTGGGAGGCCAGGGGTGTGGCCTGGGCGTCGCTGGCGCCGGCAGCGACCAATGGGAGCTGAGGAGGTAGGCGGGGCCTCGCGGGCGGGGCCGGGACAGGGCTGCGCGCATGCGCCGGGGCAGGCCCGGCACCGGGCTGCTTTATTTCCACCTCCCTCGCGGCCTCCTGCTCTGGCCGCCCCCATCCGGGTTGGAGGAGTCGGGGCGCCCCTCTGCAGCCGCCGCCTGGTAAGTGCCTGGCCGGCGCCTCCTCTCGTGCGTCCGCTCCCCTTTCCCCAGCGGCGCCCGGAGCCCGGGGCGGGCGATGTCGCTGGGGGCGCGGTCTCCGGAGAACCTGGACGCGGCCGGGCGTGCTCGGGGCTGCCTTGCTCTCCGGTTCGCGTGCGGGGCAGGGCCGGCTCGGTGGGGCGCGAGGTTCCGGGGACCCGCCTGCGGACTCGACTGGGGACTGGGCCCCGCTCCTCGGGCTCCTGCCGCCTCGGGTCCGGAGGGTCCTGCCGGGCCCTGATCACTGTAGTCGGGGTTGGGCGGCCCCTGTTCCAACATCACTAAGATCCCGCGTGAAGCCCATTCTGCCGTCTCGGCGTTTGCACCTTGCCCCGCGGCTTGCTTCTCCTGCCTGCGCATCCCTCCCACTCGTTGCTTCATTCAGACGGTGCAGCCTGAGCCCCCGCAGCCTCGTACTCTGGGAAAGGGCACGCCTCATTGGAACTTTTGCAGGGACGGGGTGAATGAATTCGCTCGCAGAGTTAATGTAGCTCTGGGTTTTAAGGTCTTTCTAGGTGTGATTTCATGCAAAGCAGTTGCGATGATCAGCATCGTTGTTCCTGCGCAAGAATGGCAAAGCAGTGTCGGAACTGCTGCGCGGATCCTACATCCGTCCTGCTGGTGCAGTGAGAAAGTTGAAAGGCAGGCGTTTCGGTTTTGGCTTTGCCGCTGCCTTGGGCTCAGTTAATTCATGTGAAATGAGAAAATGATTTCTGAGGTTCCTTTTAAACCCCACGTTTTGTGAGTCTGCGATGAGCTTATTTTTTCGTTCTGCATCTTTAAAAAGAATAGGAACTAGGAAAACTTCACGAAAGGGCAGTCCAGCAAGAAACAAAGATTTATGAGAGCACAGACGTTTAGGGACCGTGAGTACAGTTTAAGATAGCAGACTGAAAAGGGAACAGCAAGTAAAATTGAAAGGACTTACCGAGAATTGATTATATAAGAGGAACTTGGAAAGCTTTCAGAGGTACTGGCAGCAAGTATTATACTGTATTTAATTACCTCTCTTTACAGCGGCACAAATGAGGTCAGGAGAAAATAAATACTAGGTAACCATGTAAGAAAATGTAATGGAGAGGATGTGTAACTTAGCATGCATGCATCTTAGGTGTAGGGAGAATCCTTTGGAATTCTTCATTTGTACAGACATTTCCATTGTGTATTTCCCCTGCAAAAAAAAAACCCTACATTTTTTTCTGAATATGTGCAATTCCCTACCCTTCCATCTGCCAATATTTTTTAACAGCTGTTGGAAAATAGCATTTGGCTGCAAAGAAGTACATAGAGGAAAGATCATGCGATCCTTCAGAGATAACTTAATTTGAATATTCTGCAGCTGTGACTAGGAAAAGTGGCTTTTCTTTGCTGAGGCGGTGTTTCCTCAGTTGTGGAATGTAGACAATGATGCCTATTTCGTAGGGTTTAGAGGATTAAATACAGTCGTTTGTGTGGGAAATGCATAGCAGTGCCTGAGATCAGTTATTCAACATCAGTTATAACTGATGTTGTTAGTATTGTGTTTATAATGCTGCAAAGAGAAGTGATCCCTGGGTTTTATTGTGGCTTAGAGAGTGTGACTGAAAGAGAAATGCGAAGTGGGAAGTGATCTACAACCACTGCTTGACTCGGGAATTTCTGTGAAGTTGTAATCCCTTCCTCGAGATGCTGCTGAGACGGTATTAACTACTAATAAGGACACATTAATCTTTGACTGTCTTGGCTTGTCAGTCTTGGCACTTCAGTAGATAGAGTTGCAATTTTCAAAAAAACTATACTTGGAAGTTAAGGAATGTGTGTGAGGAGACCTCCCTCCAAAGAGAACACAAAAACAAAGTAATAGGTTAGTTTACAGAACAGAGATTTCAGCCTAAGATACCTGAAGCCCTGTCACAGCTTGCTGTGGCCAATACAGCTTGGACATACACTCACCTATTCCAGTCTTAACTAGAACCTTTTTGAATGTTTGTCCAACTACTGAGGTTGTCTGGTTCTTATTTAAGCCAAATTATTTATTCTTTTACTCAGTGAACATTAATTTGGGAAGGCCCAGTAGTATTAACTGCTTAGGGATCTACTTTTAGCCTTTGGAAAGGAAAAGAGAATCCCACTAACTAGCTAACTTTCAAAAATTGTAATTGAGACGCGCATACATGTGCACAGAGGGAAGTAAAACTCAGTGGAAATCAAGCAGGGTGGAGGGGATCGGCAAAAACCTACCTAATGGGTACAATGAACACTATCTGGGTGATGGGCACACTTATGGCCCTCATTCAAGCATTACAAAAGTGATCTATGTAACCAAAAACATTTATACCCCTGTAATATTTTGAAATAAAAATTGTAATTGAATAGAAAGTCCAGGTTTAATTGAATAGAAAGTCCAGATGCTGATGGAGTGGACACTCATTTATGGAAGGTAAGTTTATTTTGGCAGAAACCTCTGAATAGGAACTTACAGGTATGTGGTTCATCCCACGTGATTCAAAACTATGAAGAGGCAATTCCACAATAAGCCTCTAAGTTTTAAATTAATTAACTAAAAACTCAATATCAAAAGTGATAGAGGAAAAAGTAGCCAAATCTCATTAAAACGAAACTAGGAAACAAATATAAGTAGTGGCAGAAAATTGGAAAATTAATTAGGGAGATAGCATGAGTTCATATAGCACTATAGTAAAACTTTTGAAAGATTAATTATAATCCTATTTTTCTTAAATTTTTGCTGACATTTTGGAAGATGTGCTATGTATAGTGTGTATATCTCCAAATATACACATACATGTATATTCATTGTAGAAAAAAAATTACTGCTAATGAAGATGAATAGAATGAAAAATCAGACTGGGTGCCATGGCTTATGCCTATAATCACAGCAAATTTTGAGGTCCAGGCGGGAGGATCACTTGAAGCCAGGAGTTCAAGACCAGCCTGGGCAACATAATGAGACCTTGTCTCTACAAAACATTAAAAAAAAAAAAGAATCAACTATAATGAGACTGGGTTTCATAGTTTATTTGTGGGAATATTAATATTTGTCCTCCTAGCCCAAATTTGAGGGGATCCACTGAAATAATTTATATAGGATATTTTGTTAGTTATAGTACTTCCACACGTGCCCCTGTTAGTTATTGTTTTGCTTTTTTTTGAGATGAGATCTTGCTATGTTGTATGTTGTCTAGGCTGGTCTCAAACTCCTGAGTTCAAGTGATCCTCTCACCTCAGCTTCCTAAGTAGCTGGGACGATAGGCACGTGCAATCAGTAAAGTCCAAAAATGGGTTAAGGAAGTTAGTACTGGGTAGTAAACAAATTATTGGATTTATTATGAATGTGTTCTTACAGTCTATAACTTATAGTGTTTATTATATGAGTTGAATTTAATAAGACAAATAATTAGTGCAACAGAGAAATTATTAAATGTTTTCAAGGATAATAGGGAGATGAGAGGAGTTTTTGGGGCAGGGTTTGCTCTTTGGTACTGAAATACATAAAAACATGATGGTTTTCAAGTTCTAGAGTGCTGTGGCATCAGCCTGTTTCACAGTAACCTCAAACTCCTAGGCTGAAGCGATCCTCCTGCCCGAGCCTCCTGAGGAGCTGGGACTACAGGCATATGCCACCACGCCCATCTAATTTTTTCTATTTTTAGTAGAATTGAGATCTTGCTCTTACTCAGGCTGGTCTTGAACTCCTGACCTCAAGTGATCTTCCCACTTCAGCCTCCCAGAGTGCTAGGATTATAGGTGTGAGCCACTGCACTCAGCCTCAAGTTCTATTTTTAAGGAGTCTTCTACCTTACTCATTTGTTACTATTCTTTTTTTTTTTTTTTAAACCTGAACTACCATGTATGTTACTATTCTTAATTTGGTTAATATCCATAAATGAGGAATAACTATTGGTAGATTTATTCAAGATCCTCTTGGGGGTCCTTGTGTTTTCTCTTAGCCTAAGCAAGCTCCTTGGCCTATGTTGAGAACTGACATTCTGGGCAATTGTCACTTGTAATAGGCCTCTCCTGAGAAAAGTGGACTAGGGAAATTCCTAAACTGAAGCAAAGTAAAAGCATGGGACATATCTGCTTGCCAATAATGATTCTAATAAATTAGCAATTTTATCTTAAACCAGCAGTAGTTACAGTTGATACTATGCACAAGTGTATCAATGTGCATGTGTTTCCTGGCACAGAGCCAGGTTTACCAACTTGAATCACATACAACTGCAGAATATAAAATGAAAGACCTGGGTGTGGGCTGTGACATGAAAGTAAGTAGATGGCACCATGAGCAAGGTCCTTTTTTTTCCCCAGCATATTATGGGGGTACAAATGTTAAGGTTATGTATATTTCCCTTGCTCCCCTCCCTCCTTGAGTCAGTGCTTCAAGCGTGTCCATCCCCCAGTGGGTGCACATCGCACTCATTATGTATGTATATACCTATCCCCTCCCCTCCACCTGCCCGACACCTGATAGATGTTATTCCTTTATGTCCACTTATGTGTTGATCAGTTAATACCAATTTGCTGGTGAGTACATGTGGTGCTTGAGCAAGGTCCTATTAAGGAAGGAAAGGAAAATGAGAGGCAACATTTGTGAGTGGCTTTAAAATATATACTATTTAATCCCCACAATAGGCCGACAGCTAGGTATTTTATTTAGCTTTGTGAATAAAAGGCTCTACCCCTAATTGGTTCCATGGTGGTGATAGTGTTGATGAAGAAAAAAATCCTAAACTGGAGATTAAAAAATAAAATTTCCCTAGGAAGGATGTGATGTGGGTCTGACCCCACAGTCTGCCTCGTTCCTTCACGCCAAGCTGCCTTCCAGCTAGTAACAAAATACGGCTAAGGGAGGTGAGCTGACATTAACCGAGTGTAGACTAGAAGTAGCTTGTGGTCATTTTAAGTCATTGTCATTTTACCACATGAACCAGGTTAGCAACGTTCTTCTGCCCCAGTGCACCTGGGGAATGCGATACCTCTGTAGGGACTCACTAACACAGTGGCCAACAAATAGCAAATACTGCATAAAGAACAGATTTAAGATAAAATAGACTACCCAGAAAACAGCCTCCGCCGCACTACGCTGAGTACATACACACACATCAAGGTATAAGCTGATTGCTTCTTGGGTCCTGAGTAAAAATTAAGGCCCTTGATAAAGTGAGATTAGACATTGCTGGGCTGGAGTTGAGGAGACAGGGGTGCTCTGCTTTACTGAGGCGAGGTGCCTCTTGGGAACTGTCGCAGGGGGTTTCAGTGCTGCCACCTGGTGGCGCTCGCTCTCCCTGTAAGTCCCAGGGGGAGTTGAGAACAGAAACCGCCTGTGTGAGAAGTTCCAGCTTTGAAACGGCTTAACTCTTGTGTCCAGGGAAAAGCCTGCTGGAGGCGATGCTTCTGTGAAGCGAAGGAGAAGAGACGGCGCGAGAATGTCGGCCCTCAACTGGCAGCCGTTCGTGTACGGGGGGCTGGCCTCCATCACCGCCGAGTGCGGTAAGGAGCCGGCTGCTGGCGTCGCCCTGCCCGCTGCGTTTCGACGTGGTGGCGTTTGATGTGATTCAAGTGCGGGATGCGAGATTGTGAGACACTCATCTCAGGATCCAAAACTTTCTTCTTTTGGGAATGTTTCTAAGACAAAACCGTCGTTTTGGCTACTTATTAGCAGTTCAGGGTTCAAGGTTTAGTGGGGAGAAAGTTGAGCCTGTTGACCCAACAGAAGTTTTATGACCCATGTTTGGATTGCAGCTGTGCCTGTTTTCTGTGTCCTTTCCCCCTTTTGCCACTGTTAACCCATTTGGTCTAAAGAGGTTTGAGAAGTGCAAGGGTCTTGCCTGATTCAGGCAAGATTGGATAGACTGTCATGATTCTGTCACTTCCTAATTCCACACATCATCCCATTTGTGCCTGGGGCATCAGTTGCCTTCCACACCAGGTCCTGTTTGTTCTGTGTTGTTTATTCTCTGGAATCATTCATTCAACCAATATTGGTTGAGCAGCTGCTGAGCACCCCGCACTGGGCTGGACATTTATTTCATCATGTCAAGGGCTCAGTTGCTGGGTCCAGGACAGGCACTGCCCCTGAGGAGCCAGGGAGGGCCGGGCCAGGCGGTGAGACACAGTTGCCACCTGCCTGGGGGCTCAGGTTCTCTTTGCAAGTGAGCTTTCCCATTGACACAGTGAGTCAAGATTACTGTCTAAGGATGGGTTTGATATATTATTTGGGTAGACAATTAGATACTATATTAAACACATTTACCTGCTTTATTAGATTTAATCTTAGGCTATAAAACTCTCCTTCCTAAGTGTCCGCACTTAGGGGAACCCCTTTGGAAATGAACTTTTTTTACCTCTCTTCATTCACATCAAATCCAGTTTTGGCTTTCACATTCGTACACAACAGTTAACATTTTTAAATGGCTTTCCTGTTTGTGTACATCATTCCATGCACCTGCTTTGTCCAGCACTGCAGCCTACTCGGATCCTATGTAGAATAAGATGAGGTATAAATAAAAATGTTAAGAAAAGAAAATATATTTATGCATTTTTTGGGGGGTTGTTAATCTTTTAGTTGCTCAGTTTTTTTAAGATAGAAAAAAGATGGCAAAATGCCTGCCATTCATTTCTTAATCTGTCTCTTAATTTACCTTATGTTTACATAATATAACACTATGCATCCTTTGTTGAGCGGAATTTCTTTTTATGAAGTGAAATAGTTCTGTCTTTAAAATTTTAAGGTACATTTCCAATTGATTTAACCAAGACCCGGCTCCAGATTCAAGGCCAGACGAACGATGCCAACTTTAAAGAAATTAGGTATCGAGGAATGTTGCACGCGCTGGTGAGGATAGGCAGAGAAGAAGGGCTGAGAGCGCTGTATTCGGGGTGAGTGGCCCATTGTGCATGTCCGTGTCGCTGTTGAACCTTTCAAGTGGATAGACTTCAGGCTGAGACTTCACAGAGCAAAAAGAAAAGTTTGAGATATATTTGAAAGAGTAGTTAGCATGGTAAATTTTCCACTTTAAATTTTAACTTTATTTTCTAGATGTATTTTCTGTAGCAAATGTTTCGGTGAAACTACATTTTTTATTGGGTAATCCAGTCGAGGACACCAAGTACGAAAGTTATGTTTGTTTTAAAAAATCCTGTTGTTCCCTTTTTTACTCTTCGAAAATAGCCCTTTCCCTTAGCTATTCTGAATTATCAAGGTTTTGCTGTAAGACAATGCTCTAGTGTGGGTAAGAGCTGTAGTGAACTACTTTTCACTCATGATTCAGCATTTCACGAACAGTGTTCTGTGGATGCTGGATGGGAAAGTGAGTCAGACCAGGCCCTGCTTTTGTGTCCGTGGAGTCCCTGCAGGAAATAGAATTGACTCGGGCACTCTGGGAGCCCGAGGCGGGCGGATTGCTCGAGGTCAGGAGTTCGAAACCAGCCTGAGCAAGAGCGAGACCCATCTCTACTATAAATAGAAAGAAATTAATTGGCCAACTAATATGTATAGAAAAAATTAGCTGGGCATGGTTGTGCATGCCTGTACTCCCAGCTACTTGGGAGGCTGAGGCAGTAGGATTGCTTGAGCCCAGGAGTTTGAGGTTGCTGTGAGCTAGGCTGATGCCACGGCAATCACTCTAGCCTGGGCAACAAAACAAGACTCTGTCTCAAAAAAAAAAAAAAGATAGAATTGACTCAGGTAGTTTAAGTGAAGAGACCTCAAGCAAAGGGGCTGTGAAGAGTTAAGGGAGCACATGAATGGTAGACACTGAGAAACCCAGAAACTCAAAGCACAGTGAGAATTGGTCCCAACCCTAGGACCACAGGGGCCAGGGCAGGGTTAGTGTGATCAGAGCCCACTGCTAGGGCAGGCGACTTGAAAGAGAGGATAGTGGTTGTCGAGAAAGATGCTTTGGTAGTGCCCAGGGAGGGGAAGAAATCCTCTATTCTTTTTCTTCCCTCCCTCCCCTCTCCTATGGCTGAACCCACCTGGAAGCCAGCTGGCAAGGGAGCCCAGGTGATGCAAGCCGTAGGTGGCAGCATCTTGGGACACAGAGAAGGGCAAGAATGATCTGGACAAATGGGATCAGTAGTGGCACTGTCCTGCAGGAGCTGTTGTTGGGGCGCCTGCAGACATGTAAGCAGGATCAGTGTGGAGTGTGATTAGTCTAGAGCGTGAGTGAGAGAGGGCGTCAGTCTCAGATGGGGTGGGGTGGGGTGGGGGGAGCCACCAGATCAGATCTTGAAGGAGCAAGGGGAGTGAGCCAGGTGAAGCTGGGCGAGAACTGTATTCATCCCGAGCCAGTGGTATGTGCTGGAGAGCATGGCTTATTCTAGCAACTGCAAGTAATTCAGCGTGATGTAGTGTGGGAGGCTTGTTTTTCCTGAGACTGTCTCGAATTCATTTCAGTATTATGGTGGGCAGACTTTTAGGGAGAGGAAAGAACTGGCCCCCGAGGAGGTAGGTGATGAGCTCTAGCCAGTAGTGGAAGGATTGCAGATGTGTACGGTATACCTAGCTGAGGCCAGATGTCACCAGGCGCTTTGTACTGAGAAAGGAAAGGTCTTGCATTTTAACACAAATGGGCAAATGGAACTCCGTGTTCATGTACATTTTCCTTGAAGGTAAATATTAGGAGCTGAGCGTTCGCTTAGTGAGCTAGTAATTTGCACAAATTCAGCTGAACCCACCTATACTTTTGTTGGATTTTGAATTTTAAGAAATCATTTCAGAGTGTGTAGTTTGATTATGGAAGGCATTCCGTGCGGATTTTTTAGAGGATGTTAAGTGATTTTTAGATTGCCTTTGTCCTTTTATACATGGCTTGACAGGATTGCCCCCGCGATGTTACGCCAGGCGTCCTATGGCACCATCAAGATAGGCACTTACCAGAGCCTGAAGAGATTATTCGTTGAACGGCCGGAAGGTGAGTGGGGAATCTGTTTTCCACCGTGGATGGGGGTGGGTTGTTTATCTTTTTATTAAAGTGGTTTTAGAGCAGATTTTCTTCAGCGTATTTGTGACTTTACTACTGCTAGGGAGAACTCTGGATGGATATAAAGTCTAAATGAATTGTGCTTAAAGCAAGTCAGTTATCAGCTGGACTGAAAGGAGTAACAGTGAAAAGGAACCATCTCTACGAACACTTTTATTTTATTTTATTTTTTTTGGGGGGCGAGTCTTACTTTGTTGCCCAGGCTAGAGTGAGTGCCGTGTCATCAGCCTCGCTCACAGCAACCTCAAACTCCTGGGCTCAAGGGATCCTCCTGCCTCAGCCTTCCGAGTAGCTGGGACTACAGGCATGTGCTACCATGCCGGCTAATTTTTTCTGTATATATTAGTTGGCCAATTAATTTCTTTCTATTTATAGTAGAGACGGGGTCTCGCTCTTGCTCAGGCTGGTTTTGAACTCCTGACCTTGAGCAATCCGCCTGCCTCAGCCTCCCAGAGTGCTAGGATTACAGGCATGAGCCACCGCGTCTGGCCTCTATGAACACTTTAATTAGTGGTTTTAGCTCAAAATGCCTAGACTAGAGGATATGTTGTTACCATTTCTATACAACTTAAAATTTTCTAAAAGCAGATGAATTGTCACCTATTTTTCAGGAAAGTAGTGAATACATTTCTTAGTATTAAGAACTTGGAGTTCTTACAGTAAAAATATGGTATAATAAAAAAAGACAAAAAAGATAAATAAAAGAAGAACTTGGAGTTCTGATACTTTGGTTGGTTCTGTGACTTTGTTTTGATCCATGGAACTATTTCTTTTTTACAACAGATGGGCACCTATTGCTGTTTTGTGAGAATAAGAGCTAAGATGTTTTGGAAATACTTTAGTATATTTCAAACTAAACTCATAGGATGTGCTTTAAAAACTTTTCTATGCCAAATTAGTCTCCATGTTATCTCATAGGAATATATCTTTTATATTCCCCTAAGGAACACATCTCATCTTAATTATGCTGGTCTGCATTTACACATGAAAGCGAATTGGTAGATCACTTGGCAGGATGATTCACATTCCTTTTTAGATAAGAAATTTTGCTGGCCAGGCTGGTGGCTCATGCCTGTTATCCTAGCACTCTGGGAGGCTGAGGCGGGCGGATTGCTCGAGGTCAGGAGTTTGAAACCAGTCTGAGCAAGAGTGAGACCCCATCTCTACTATAAATAGAAAGAAATTAATTGGCCAACTAATATATATAGAAAAAATTATCCGGGCATGGTGGCGCATGCCTGTAGTCCCAGCTGCTTGGGAGGGCTGAGGCAGAAGGATTGCTTGGGCCCAGGAGTTTGAGGTTGCTGTGAGCTAGGCTGACGCCACGGCACTCACTCTAGCCTGCGCAACAAAGCGAGACTCTGTCTCAAAAGAAAAACAAAAAAAGAAATTTTGCTAAGCAAAATCTCTTAGCCAGTAAAATTCCCAATCCTTTTAGAATTACTTAGTGCATGAAGCATAAATTTATCTTAAGGCAAGCAAGTATTGTGTAAATGAGTTATACCTGTATTTGAGTTACAGGAAGAACTTTGTATATATGAAAAGACAAATAATAATATGTCATTGTTTACAGATGAAACCTTACCCATAAATGTCATATGTGGAATTCTCTCTGGAGTCATATCCTCAACCATTGCTAATCCAACTGATGTTTTGAAAGTAAGTTGTGGTACCTATATCTTATAGACACAGGCCACATTTTCTTATTGAGAATAGCATTCAGGTGATGAAAATCTGTGAATATACCGTATGCTCTGTACACATGAATCTGTTTATAGTGTAAGTGCCATGAATAATTTAACTTTAAAGTATCCACTAGGTGGATTTCGCACTGATACAGATGAGCTCAAAAATAGAGCTTATTTTGGAGACAAAGATTTTGGCATTTGAGTAGAAAAAAAATTAAAGCATGGATGCATTTGAATTTCTTTTTTCATTGAAAATCTTCTTTGTTTCATTGGTTCATTAAATATAGATGGGCTGTAAGTTTTACACAAATCTAGGTTGCTCATTAATGACTTTCTGAGTGCATCTTCTTATCCATTAATTTCATTTCAGGAAATACAAATGAAAATATTTACTTACCACAATTAGATATAACACATTAGATGATTTATTGAGAATACTAAGGATACAGCCTCCTTAAATCTGTTTTGGAATAAGACAAGGGAATAACTAATTAAATAAAATAAAAATTAGGCATGAGTTCCTGTTTGAACCCTCTCACAGTATTCATCTTCTACTTTCCCTCTCCTTTCCCCCCACCCCCCATTATTTAACAAGTATTCTATGTTTCTATCCTGTACCAATTGGAGTACTATGTGCTTAGATTAAAAAAATGAGTAAGGCAAAGGACCCTTTGCTCAGAGAGCTTTCTGTCTAATAGGGGATTCTGACAAGCATAAAAATTGTATGCAGTGTGTTGGATACACTACAGATAATGTATGCACTATAGTGAAGGTTCAGCATGTGTGATGAAGAAATACAAGGTACTTTTGCCATGAGTTTACACTTTGTTGGGGTAATAGAGCTAGAGAAAAATATCCATACTCCTATTAATTTCTTAAATGTATTTCAGGGCTTATGGGAAGGCAGTTCCTATATCTTGATTTATTTTCCCATGTTATTGTAGCAATAACAGTTTCCTTTAGAAGTTAGTAGTAATATATTTGCTACCTAAGCAAAAATAAGGTACTAATTTTTTAGTGAGCAATCCTTTTTCCTTCTTAAAAATGCAAAGGGCTACATCAAATGTTTTGTTTGTGTTAGAATTGCGGTCATGCGGATTTCACTAGTAAGTTCAAGTGTAACAGAGTGTAACGGGTGTCATGTGGCCAGCTCGTGGCCAGCTCCTCTGCATACCTTTTGGTTCAGCTGATTGGAAATAGAGGCTTGGAGCAACTAAATTAAGAATTATGCCTGCCCATGCTTAGTGCTGCCAAGTATACTGGATAACTCTCATTCATTACATTAAATCTTTGAAATTACCATCATTTACTCTCTTTCCTACATATTAACCTATAGGAAAATATGCTATTTCTGTCCTTCTGGAAAGACTTTTTTGAAAAAGTTAATTTCTTTTTTGATACTAATTGCTATACATAGGTCTCTTGGAACTCTGCTAGATGCTTTTTTGGCTATTTCAGAGTTACTAAGAACCGATCTTTATACATTTTCAGTGTACTGAGGACATTCTAAAGTAGCATCATAGTAATATTTATATTATAATTGTTTTCTGTTAATGGTTATTAAGCAAGAGACCGAATGATTTTCAGAGGTGTACATTGGTGGGGGATGTACTAGTTTCCTTCTCATGTTGGTCTTTAATCTCTAGATTCGGATGCAAGCACAAAGCAGCACCATTCAAGGAGGCATGATAGGCAACTTCATTAACATTTATCAGCAGGAGGGAACTAGAGGACTGTGGAAGGTAAGCTTGAAGAATAATCCAACTGGCTCATTTCGTTCTTTTTTCCTTTTTTGAATTTATTTTTCCTATTTCCATCACTTTATTTTAATCCAAGTGGCATAATGGAGTATGGGAAGAAAGAAGAGTAGCATCTTCTGCCTGTGAAAATATCTTCTTCCTTAATTTCCCTATCTGTAAAATGGGAATATAAGGCATATGCCATGATTTTAAAGTACTTTTTGAATAATTTATATATAAAGAGTTCTGTGAAGTTAAGTTTGAGCATTTTTCTTGTTTGATTGCTTTTTTTCCCCACCCCCCTAATTCTTACGGAAAACAGATCATTGGGTGTTTTGATCTATATGGTTTCCTGGCTCTTAAGTGAAGTCCGTGTTACTAGGCGAGCGCTGGTGTGGAGTGCTGGTTCCTACTATTCTAATGACTTGTCAGTTCATAAAATCGACCCTAAAGATCATCCAGTATGATCCTTCGGCACGTACAAGGAAACCCGAAGCTCTGAGAGGTGACTTGTCCTGGCCACCGTCTTGCCTGAGGTTGCACAGTTCGTGCCAGCATCAGAGTTAGATTTCGGAGCTTTTGAGCTCTTGCCTTGTGGCCTTTCCCTCTCTGTTACTCTACATTTCTAGCTACCAGCAGGAAAACATAAAAATTGGTCATAGTTTGTGGAGTAGAACCTTTGCAAATTTGCAAGGCCGTTCTACAGAGGCATATCAGAATCATTTTGATTATCATTAATATTTTTATCCAGGGTGTATCCCTTACTGCTCAGAGGGCTGCTATTGTTGTTGGCGTGGAGCTGCCGGTCTATGACTTCACCAAGAAGCATCTGATTCTCTCGGGCCTGATGGGAGACACTGTATATACCCACTTTCTGTATGTTTATGGATTTTTAAAAATTAATATTTTAGCTATGCATGAGTTCAGGGTGAAAATTTGGTACCAATTTATAGAAATTTTCAAGAAAGTTTATTATAAAAGTATTATTCTAATATTTGAAAAATTACAGAAGTGAAGCAGAAGAGAGTGAAAGTCCTTATTGCTCTATGCAGGTAGAGCTATAAGGCAGCATCAGGTAGCTGTTAACAGTTTGTTATGTACCTTCTAGGCATTTTCTGTGTGTATACAAATGTGTATTTTATTACACAAATAAGCTCATGCTTTGCTTTCTCATGTTTGCTTTTTAAAATTTAGCAATATATTCCAAATATCTTTCCATGTCAGTACTTACAGACTTTATTTATTTTTTTTTTTTTTTACAGACTTTATTTTTAATAGCTGCAGATTATCACATGATATGGATATAGCATAGTTTATTTAATCCATTGTTGGGCGATATATGGAGACTGTTGTGATTGTCACAACCAGGGGGAGTACTACTGGCACATAGTGGGTTGGGTAGAGGCTAGGGATGCAGTTAAATCTCTTTAGAGTGCACGGGGACACACCACCTCCACAACAAAGAATGATCCGGTTGAAATGTTAATAGTGCTGAGGTTGAGAAACCTTGCTCTGAGTTAACTGATACCAACCTAGGTCGGTGGTAGTCTTGTGAGACTGAAAGTATAATATAACCTAGGACCTAGTGGGCATTATATTTTTTTTATTTATTTTTATTTTTATTTTTTTGAGACAGATCTCACTTGCCCAGGCTAGGAGGTGGAGTGCGTGGCGTCAGCCTGGCTCACAGAACCTCAACTCCCTGGGTCAGTCGATTTTCTGCCTCAGCCCCCGAGTAGCTGGGACTAGAGGCATGCGCCACAGCCCGGGCTAATTTTTTGTATATGATTTTTTAGTTGGTCAATTAATTTCTTTCTATTTTGGTAGATGATGGGTTCTCGCTAGGGCTGGTTTTGAACTCCGACCTTGAGCAACCACCCGCTCAGCCTCCCAAAGTGCTAGGGATTACAGGCATGAGCCACCTGCGCCCAGTGTGAGGCATTATAGAAAGGAGAGCTCTTCTTTCTCTCCTTTCCTTTCCTTTCCCTTTCTTTCCTTTCCTCTTCCTTTCCTTTCCTTCCTTCCTTCCTTCCTTCTTTCCTCTTGCCCCCCCCCCTCCTCCCCTCCCCGTTTTTCCCTTTCCCCTTCCCCCCCTGGTCCCTTCCCCTCCCTTCCTTCCCTTCCTTCCCCTTCCCTTCCCTTCTCATCTTTCACCTAGTGGGAGTGAGTGGACATTAGCTTCACTGAACCCCAACTCCTGTTCTCAAGTATCCTTCCCAGCCTCCGAGTAGCTGTAACTACAGGTGATGCCAACTGCCTGGCAATTTATTTCTATTTTTAATAAAGACACGTCTACGGAACATCTCAACGCTTTTATCCTAAGCACCTGAAGGCTGAGGCTGGAGATCGCTCAAGTCAGGAGTTCCAAACAGCCTGGAGCCAAGAGCAGGACCCTTATCTACAAAAAATAGAAAGAAATATATGGCCAACTAAAATATGTAGAAAAATAATTAGTGCATGGTGGCACATGCCTGTAGTCCCGCTTACGTCGGACTAGGCAGAAGGATCGCTTACCCAGGAGTTTGAGGTTGCTGTGACATAGCTGATCCACTCACTCTATACCCCAGCAACAGAGGAACTCTGTCTCAAAAAAAAAAAAAAAAAAAAAAATAGAGACAGGGTCTCACTCTTTCTCAGGTTGGTCTTGAACTCCTGAGCTCAAGCACTCCTTCTGCCTCAGCCTCCTAGAGTGCTAGGATTATAGGTGTGAGCCACCATACCCAGCCAGATCTTTTTCTTTGACCTTAAGGAACCATATGATTATGATATGGCTAGAAGTACTCTGATGCCTACTTTTAGTTAAATAGGTAGAATAGATCATCTTTGGAGGATGTTGCTTTATGTTATATGATTCTCTGACATTCCAGAACCCGAAAGGTATTCTTAGCTGTGGCTGATATTTATAAGCCAGTATAATCAGTGCTGATGTTTGGCAGCTCTCTAGGTACGGACCTTGTTCTTGGCACATTTCATGTTGCTGCATGCTACTTTAACATAGTTTTGGGAGAAGGCTGTTTTCTGCCTTTGATAGTGGTTGTTACAGCTCAGTGGTGATTAACTTTTTTTTCCAATGATGCCTTCTTCATAGCTCAAGCTTCACCTGTGGTCTGGCGGGGGCCCTGGCCTCAAACCCTGTTGATGTTGTGAGAACACGTATGATGAATCAGAGAGTCCTTCGAGATGGCAGGTGCTCTGGCTACACAGGAACCCTGGATTGCTTGTTACAGGTAAGAATGAATGTCTGCAGGGTTGTGAATTACATATTTTTTTTTTTTTTACCTAAGTCTGTAGTAACTAAATTATGAGAGCTATTAAAACTAAGGTGAAGGGTGCTCTAAACCCCTAAGATGTATATATACAGTACAGGTTAACTTTTATAAATATAATATCTATATGAATATTGAGAAATGAAAGTTCATTTTCTTTGTATCTCTCTTCTGCTGTAAAGGGTGAGAAAATAGTACTGTTTCCTATCATCATAATAGAACTGTGTCTCCTTCAAAAATATACCTTCTTCCTATCGAGTCAAACTGGAATAACTATCCCTCATCCAGACATCTCTTTCAAAGGAACACATCAATATTACTATAATTCTCAGCTTAAATAATTAGACCTACTGTATAGGAGTGAATGAAAGTTTTCACCTGTCTCCCCTACTAGATTGCCAGGAGCCCAAGATTAGGGACCACTTTTTGTGGCTCCTATTCTTCAGCATGATGCTAGCGCATTAACTTATCATATTTATCCACCCACCAACTTAGAAAATAACTGGTGCTCTGAATGACATCTTTACCCCATTGCTTCTTTTCTGACCTATTTAGGAGCCCAAACAGCATGGAAACAAAAGACCCTAATTGGAATTAAATCTAATTTCTTATTCATTCAACTCTTGTACATCTGCCTTGTATGGGTTTATTCAGCCCTTTGTGTGGGGTTCTTTGGTGTGTTCTCCTTATGCAGAACACTTTAAAGAACAAAGAGGGCAACGATTTCTTAAGATAATCATTCCAAACACGATTTTATTTTTAAGAAAAATAGATCAGTCTGGCTGCTAATTATTAATGTATTTAACATAATTAGAAAGTTGGAAGTTGACTCTTTTTTTTTTCCTTCCTTTTAACAGACATGGAAGAATGAAGGGTTTTTTGCTCTATATAAAGGGTTTTGGCCAAATTGGTTGAGACTTGGTCCTTGGAATATCATTGTATCCTTTTCTGTTGTGGTAGATCTGAAAAAAGATGTAGCTAAAGAATACTGTTTGTATAAACTATCATGGTATTAATTATAATTTAGAAGTAGGTTCTTATTCTTCTGAGTTCCTCTAATACTAAGAAATAACTACTCAGTTTCTGTTTTAGGAAATGTAGAGTCTCTGTGCTAGACCCTATGGATCTTAGTTTTTTTTTTTTTTTTTTTTTAACTAATATGACTCTTAGTTTAATGATGATGTTACCAAAAGGTAATGATACCAATAAAAATTTTGTCAAACTCTCTTCTAGAAGCTGAGGGTAGTTATGATTTTAGAGAGAGAGACAAGGGCTGACTTTACAGCCCAGCCACCCTTGGGAAGGATGCTTATTTTAGTGAGTACCTGAAGATAAACAGGAATTAGCTCCAGAATCACTGGGCTGATCAGCACCATCCCTGCATGCTGGAGTGGGAGGCAGGGAAGGAGCAGTAGTTCATTAGACACAAATGAGCAGAATATGAAGTCGGAATGTTGGTTTTGCCATCCTCTTGTTACTGTTTATCTGCTCCTCCCTCCCAAGGAAGGCTGCCTGGTGGAAACTCAAGAGGAGTGCTGCCAGGGCTTGCCAACTGTCTCTCTCACGCAGAAGTTTACTGTTCTGGAAAGTCTTCCCATCATAGCAGAGTCACAAAAGCTAATCCGTGTGGGTGTCATCGCCAAAGGGTTTGATGTAAGGCATTTATTATATGTCTCAGCTGTGATCTTTCTGTTCCAAGCTGACCTTGGGAATGCTTACAGGGAGATATTTTGAGGTAGTTAAGAATGGAGTCACTCTTATTTAAAATTGTGTCCATGGCATGGGTCCATGTTTGTTAGTAGGTGAGATATTTATAAGTCTGGTTTTATGCATTGGAGTTGTCAAGATGGCACTTTCTTAACCCATAACTACAGTTCTTTGTGACTTATGAACAGTTGAAGAAATTGGATTTGTGACAAGACAAGGCTGCATGAGACATCCCTCTGAAAATGCTAACTTCTGAAACAGTAAAGCTTCCTGTGTTTCACTCTGCTTCTCACTGCTTGGCTCATCACAGATTCCAGGGTGTGAGCAACACATGGAGACTGGGGTAGTTCAGATTGCTGTGTGTTGGCATTGGATGCTCTTCATCGAACATTTAATGGCACACTGTAACATCCAAACTCTAGCCTTTACCAGTAGGCTAGCCTTTACTAGCCTTTACCACCCTTTGACATCAAAGATAATATAGGATAATATATGAAATGCATGTTTCTTGCTAAAGAAAACTTGCAAGAAAATCTGGACAGTAGCCCTGATCTATCCCAGCTCGTAGCTGAAGATATCAGACTGCTCTAAAGAAGCTCATCGGAACCATGGAACGGAGTCTCCAAGAGGGTATTATTGTTCCTGAACTTCTGGGAACGTTTGCATCTTGTCAGTGGAAGAAATATCACGAGTAGAAACCTGGACTTTTCAACCCCAGGTGTAAACAGTGCAGGAAATAGATCCTTGGAATATTGCACTGCTTTGTAATTTCCTATTTCAGCAGGATCTTTCACTTATAATAAGTGATAGTAAGTCTTTGAAGACTTGACCTTTGTGAGGAATTGTTACACTGTATCGATATATAAATTCATGGTGATGTTATGTGTTGGCTTTGAAGATTATAAGGTTTGTACTGGTGGGAAGTATTTTCAAGCAGCTTGTATTCTGACTTAAGTAATGTTAGTTATTAGCTCTGTGCTTTTTGTTCTTTGGGTTTTTTTTTTTTTTTTTGGATAAGGTTTTGCTCTATTGACCAGGCTAGTGTGCAATGGTGTCATCATAGCTCACTGCAACCTCAAATTCCTGGGGTCAAGCAATCCTCCTGCCTCAGCCTCCTGAGTAGCTGGGACTACAGGCATGTGACCCAACACTTGGCCAGTTTTTCTGTTTTTTTTTTTTTTCTTTGTAGAGTTGGGATCTCACTGTGTTGCTCAGGCTGGTCTCGAACTCCTGGGCTCAAGCGATCCTACCACCTAGGTCTCCCAGAGTGCTACATTACAGGCATGAGCCACTGTGCCTGGCCTAGCTCTACGATTTTTAGCAAAGTTTATTTCCTAATCTGTAAAATGGCGATAATAACTTAATCTGTTGTTATAAAGGGTCAAGTGAAGAAAAGATAGTAGCTGCCATGTGACTTAAAAGGTAAGTGTGTTCACATCGTGCTGTCATACAGCTATGACTTCTCAATAAACAGTCTGTGTGTGTAGAAGAGAGTTGTATTGTGGGTTTCTCATCGTAATCATGTGTGAAGCCCTTTGTTAAAGGCCGTGTTAAAGAAAGAACAATGTTTAAGGATTTAATATATTTTCCTTAGTAAAATGTCGCTAGTGAATTAAAGAGGAAGAATTGGTTTTTCCAGATTTCCAGTTTTTACTTTAGTTATATTCATTAAAATATTTCCTGTCTTGGACTTCCTGGTTAGTTTGCATGGAAAAATACCTGTTTGAAATTTTAAAAATGATTTCTGTAGTATATCTGTTTGTCTATTCTGATAAGAGGTGTATACTATTTTGCTTTTTCCTTCTAAAGACATGATGAATCATTCTCCCTCTTCTTTATTGTTATCATCTGTTCTTTACAAAACAAAAGAGAGCCCCAGAGAGCTTTAAGCTTCTGGAAGGCAGCCCCAGGAAAATGAATCTATTTACTTGGATTCCTTCAGTTCTACCCTTTGAGAAGGACATTAAATACATACTAACTGGGGCTCCTAGTCAAATTACTTCTACAGTATTCGCAGTTTGCCCAGCCCCTAGGGCTCTTTCCTTTGTTGAGAGAGACTAGAAGGAATGCAAGTTTTTCTTGTGGATGGGGCAATTTTTCCTCCAAGCCATTTTGACCTTGCCTTCTTTATTGATGTTTCCTTTGTGCAGCAGAATTTTATTTCCAAAAGTAAAAGCTAAGACAAAGTCATTAAAAAGAGAGGAAGAAAGAAGGGTTAGTTGTTAACAGCTTAAAGACTCAGATGAATCAAGTCCACCTCTCCCTGGGTGACGCTAGATGGCAGTAGAGGACCCCTGAACTCATTCAGGCATCCCTCCTGGCACTGAACCACCCGTTAGAGATTTTTTTTTACAAAAAACATTCCACTGATGTGATAAGGACATGTATAGAGAGGCTTTCATTTTGGAGTTCTTGTAACGATTGCTTTTTATGAACCACTCTTTTTTTTTTTAAATGTGGAAAACATTTACTTTTTTCAAGAGTATATATAATTTCTAAAACAGTAGAAGCAAGTTCATTCTGAAGACTGTGTAAAGAGTGAATGTCAGACAATCTTCATTACTACCAAGTTATTCAAATTATATGTACATGTTCATACCCTGATGAAGAGAAATTCAAACTTCACTGTAAAACTTAAGCATGTTTTAAGACAAAAATGTAATATTTCTTTGATGTAGATTTATTAAGTGCCTTATAGAACAGGATCTTAACCTGCTTTTTTCTTAACCTGCTTTTTATGTGTCTTGAAAGAGGTAATGCCATTGTTGAAGCTTCTAACCAAGAAATAACTTAAAGGATTGGGAGACTTGGTCCCTTGTTTTCAGAGGTGTGGCTACAAGTCCATCCCTGCCTTTGGATAGTACTTCAATATGGCAACAGAGTATCTAGCTTTTATAACCAAGGTGAAGAAACGGCCTTTTCTGTTTGTTTATGATCTGTGTAATCATTGATGTGCAATCTTGCCGATCATACTATACAAAATGGCTCCCGTCTGCCATGTTTATTCCTGTGCTAGAAACAGTACACATTATACAAAGAGTAGGAGTTTGTCACAAAGCTTTTGTAGTTCGAGCTCTTTATTTAAGCTTGTTGGAATATGTGTGTAAACCTTGTTTCCTTTATGTAATAAACTAGAGTAATATATAAAAATGATTTGTGGTTGTTTCAGATACATAGAAACATTTAAACAAAGGCAAACTCCAGAGAGTCCAGAAGGCTGGAGTAGAAATAGTGTTTGTGAAAGTGGCTATGGACGTGTCTCCCTGCATGGAGAAATTGTGGAGTCATCTTGCTTATGTGATACCTATGTGACCCTTCCCTCCTCACCCTTGTTATATGAAATGCCCTGCAGCTCCATCAAGGCCAGTGAACTTGATTTGCGGGCTGGCTTTGCAAGGCAGCCTGGACATTCAAACACCAGGAGGATGATATCAGTGTTGTGAACTATCAGGTTCCTTCAGTCTTTCTTCCAGTGTTAGCTGTTGCTAGAGGCAGGAGCGGGGATCCTTGGTCAACTGTGGACCAGGCTGGGACAGCTGGTTGACAGAAAACAACCAGTGAACTGAGTGTCAACTTGGTTCATTAATTGTTTTTACTTGAAAGTATTCTCTAGGTGTCTGTCTTCTTAACATTTGAATTAAACATAGGGGTTTATTAAAGAACTAGAATTGGGGAAAATGGGGGAGCCTTTTTTTTAATAGACTTTATTATTTACAGCAGTTTTGGTTCATAGCAAAATTGAATGGAAAGTACAAAAATTCCCATATGCCCACCTGCCTCCCTCATTAGCAACATCCAGTACCTGAGTGGTGCATTTGTTAGAATTGATGAACCTACTTTGATACATCATTGTCACCCAGAGTCCCTAAGTTTACATTAAGGTTCATTCTTGGTTGTGCATTCTTTGGGTTTGAACATGTGTATGATGTAATGTATCCATCACTGTAGTATCATACAGAATAGTTTCACTGCCCTAAAAGTGAGGGAGACTTTTGGTGTCAATTCTCCTAAGAGATTGAATGATGTATGCTTACATGGTTGACTACAAGGAAGGGCAGAGGGAACAGCTGGCTGCTGGTGTGTCTCAAATGCCTGTGAACAGTGGAACTCTCCGTTGGGTGGTAGCACCTGTTAGACACATTTGGTTTTAAATCCAGGATATTTATTTTTAAACCAGCAACTGAGAAAATGTGAAAGGGTAAATTTTTAGTAAATTCTAAAATAGATCTGTTCTATAGCAAAACAAAGAAATTCAAGACAAACACTTTATGAAAAAGTCCCAGAAGAGGAAGATCAAAAAAAGTAAGCATTTTAAGGCCAGTGAGAGATATTTCCAAAGATGTTTTACCAACATCTATTATCATCACCAGTATGCGATAATTTTTATTGCACTTGTTTTAATTTTATTATTTGCAAACATGCAACTCAAAATTTTTTGAGGTTGAACTCTTAGAAGGTAATTATGTCTTTCTTCAAAATATGCCTTGATTGTAAATATAGATTCTAAATTCTGAGCTGAGGAACTATTTGTTTGATATAGGACAGAAATTCTTCTGTTATGAAATGAAGCCTTAGTTATTATTTAGATAAATTGTCAAGGTTCAAGGTGATTTATATAGTTCACTGATGTGTGAATGAGGAATTGACAAAGTGAGTAAGCAAGGAAATAATTTGAAAAGGAAAGCAGATCTTCAGAAACTTGATAAAGCTATAAAAACTCACAGCAAGAGAAGTGGATCCAATAATAGGATGGAGGATTACATATAAAGAAATCCATCAATTCCAACTGAATGTGCTCTGAAAATTCAAGAGGCGGTTGTAGACATGCAGGTGTGCAAAGGGTAATTTCTTTTAAATTATTTCATTTTGTAGCTTCATTGTTTTATAAGCAACGAAGTAAAATGGAGCCTGGGCTGAGAGGCTTGTGTGTTCTAACGTTGCTCCTCTTTGATGCCATGATTTAGCATTTTGGCACTTGAGCTGCTACTGCCTCGTAGCAGAACAGGATGCTCAGAGGCATTTCTGTAGGCCTGTGATGCTCACCCTGAGGACTCATGCTTGCTAAGATGCCCTGTTACAAAAAACAGTACTAACAGGTTCAAACGTGCGTCTTCATGTTGCTCACTTTATTTATATTATCATGGAGGGAATAAAAGACGCCTTGTCCAGTGTCCTGGTTCCAATGACTGGTCTGCTCTTCACTAACTGTCATCCTATCCTGAGCAGCTCACAAACCTCCCCGGGATTCGGTTTTGTCATTTGTTGAATGGAGAGAATAATAACATCCACCAACTTCCTTCCTGAGTTAAAGTGAGGAGCAGATGAGAGGTGCTTTGGAAACCATCACATTAGCTATTCTTGCCATGATACGAGATTAGCGGGGGTCCCTTGCACTGGGTGCATTAGTCATCGAGGAGGGCTGACCAAGCAGGTCTATGGAGCACCCACGTAAGGAGGCATTGGGATCCCACATGCCATCTCACCCTGCTCCCCTGCCTGCAACCTGGAACACCCCTGCTCCTTGTCTATCAGGCATTTTTTTCTAGTTCCAGGGGCCCAGTCTAAGACATTAGTGGATGAAAAGCCTTAGGAAGCCAAGGCAGGGCTCTAGAATATGGAATTTCAGATACTTGTAGCAGGTAATAGGGAAGTTTCACCACTGTCTGTGCCTTTAGGGCAGCAAACAGTAGGGTAGAGTGCAATGTTTCTCAAACTTGAACCTGTGGGCAAATTTTTAAAATGTGTGTTTTTCAGTATCCTCTTGAAGCTATATTTATGCATATTCTGGATCAACAGTATGACTGTTTTGTAGTTTAGGATCACCACATGATTTCAGCTTCTACCCTCCTTATTTATGCGTATGGACTATTTTAATTAAGCTAAGAATAAGGTTGTTTTAATATGCAAATGATATGTAAATCTCATTTAAAGGCAAAATGATATTCGGGATCTATCCTGAGTAAAGGCTTCCCTGTAATTCAAATGGGGTGGGGGAATGGAGCATGTTGCTGGTATAACATGAACACAGTTGACCCCAAGCAGCTGTGTGGCAGTAGTCAGGACTGTCTTCATGTTGCCAGCAGCAGTTCAGTTTTCCAACAAAACAATATCCTCCATCTC